TAATACATTTAACAGAGGAACTAAAAAAGCTCTGTAAACTAATTGTCTTCTATTAAGGAGGAGATATACCAGGGTTTTATTTTTATCAACCTGGAGATTGTCATGAAGCCACGTATAGTTAAAGTAAATTCACAATAATTTTTATTTTTACTGAAGAAATTTATTATTAAATATATAAAATAATACGAAAGTATACTTTTGATATTATTTTATATATTTTATAACAACAATTTATTCATAAGGTTCATGGCAGATGCTCTATACCTACTGACCCTTAGGATAACTGATAAGGTAGCTTAGGCAATGAATGAGAAAGAGATAATAATAACAGTAACTTTATTTAATTTTATATGCTATGGGCATATAAAACTAAATAAAGTTACTAAATAAAATTATTTGATTACATTCAAAACAGCTCTAGTTTTTAGGGACATCACACTTGATGTCCCAAGCAGTTTCATATAAGGAAAGCAAAGCTGCCAGTAATTACAAATTCAACAAAGTTTATTTAACTGGTAGGTTCCCAGAGCTGGATCCTGTTAAAGATAGCTTAGGCTCTTGTTGGAGAGGTAGAGAAGTGGATTATAGAAGATTCCAGTGAGACGTTCGATCTATTTAAAAGGTTTTTAAAGTCAAAGAATATCAGACTGATTCAGAACTTTGTTGGTGGCTAAAGGTCAGATTATATGAAAGAGAATCTCATGCTCGTTGCCAGAGACAACAGAAAGAAACTAATTAAATACTTGTCAAAGAAATCAAAAATGTTTAATTTTTTATAACTTGAAATATTAAAACCAGGTAATAGGAGGTAACAAATCATTTTTAAAGAGAACCAATTTTATTTGCGCAACGTAAACTGCAGTATTTAAGAAGTTTCATTTTTTTTTTAACTCATTTTCTTTTTAAAACTTAAAGTTATGAAGATTACATTCAAATAACTATTATTCTCATCAACTTTTAAAAAATCTTTAAGTTCGTTAGGATAAAATTAGATGTACTAATTTAGTTAAAATAATTCAATCTGGATCTGTTTCATGATTGAATTTAAAATTATTAGTTTAGAAATTATTTGAATAAGCATTACTTTAGCGTTTAATCAACTGAAAAAATATAGTTTTTTCACATCATTCATAACAAATATAACATGCTAAAACTCTATTTTGTATTCATCGCTTCCTATGTTTTATTTTTTTTAAAACCATGCTTTTTTATATATAACATATTTTTGTTGATTTTTAAAATAAAATATAGGTTAAATAAACTTTTATTATTATTATTTTATTTTGTTTTCACTTTCTTTGTAAGATTCTTCTATTAGACTTATAACTTTCTTCTATATCGGTAAATCTTTATTTTTTCGACTCAGATATTTAATTTTTAAATTTTTGATGCCTATTTTTAACAAAGAGTTTTGGAAAATCTTTTCAGTAAATAAAATTTCAATAAATTTTCTTCAAAAAAATGTAAAAAAATAAAAAAACAAACTGTTTTTTTTATTTTTTTACGTTTCTTTAAGAAAATTTATTTAAATTTCGCTTACTGAATAAAATATTTTGAAATTCATAGCTTCCTACAAATACTTGAGGTGCCAGGCATACAGCTTCCTACTTAAAGTATTAATGCTACAAATTCCTACTTAAGGTGGTAGGGCTACAGGTTCTAACTTAAGGTAGTAAGGTTAGAAAAAGTATACAAAAAAAAAAAAAAAAATGTTATACTAATGCAACAGAATGACAGCAACAAAGAAAATAATTTAGGCTTCAAGTTGAGCAAGTCCAAGAAAATTAATGCCATTGATAAATAAAAATCAAGTAGTAAATAATTTGCAATATAACTGCAAATAACAATAAAATTGCAAATAATTTTATTAAAAAAAATAATTTTATTGAGTATTACGGATGGCGGATGGGTTGTGCCCATTATCTTGAAATCACGTTTAAGTCATGTAATTAGTGAAAGTTTTTTTTTAATGAAAAGAAAGCTTTGTAGAAATTACAAAAATAATTTCATAGGAATAGACTGAGGATAGCTATGGAAGGTTTTAGTTTCTGCTATGATAGATTTTAGTCACTCTATGAATTTACATGGTTTAATAGTTACTTCATTTAAAAAAATAAATCTAGAAACAGCAAAGCTTATAATAAAGTTTGCACCGTAACTGATATAAAAGAGATATGATACGAAGCTGATGTTATAAAATCAATAATAAAATGTGTTAAAATTGTTTGTGTATAACTAAGACGCGGTCATGTTTCATTAACTAATTTGTGAAGTGAAGAAGTGAAGTGTACTTGTCGATGATAAATGTGCTAGATTACAAAACGTCAAAACTTCGCATAGGTTATAAAATATAAAAAAATAAAAAAATTTCACCATGGCGCAATGCTTGGAAAGCTCCACAAGCAGGCCTTATCGATCAAAAAAAATCTTTTAACTCAATAGAAATAACTGGTTCTATAAAAATATTTTCACGTTCATTTGAAAGTAATAATAATGATTTTTTCATTTTTTGAGATCATTTTTTGCGCCATATAAAGACTTTGGAATAACTCCAAAAAAATTGGAGTGTGTTATACATGTACAAAAAAATGGCTACGCGGCTACGTAATCTCATTAAAATTTAAAAAGGAACGTTAACTCTATGAGATGGAAAAAATGAACTAAGAATATGATTAATACTATGCAAAACTATAATGGTTTAGTTATAAAAAGTACATACAAATAATATTACTGCCATAAAATAGACAATATAATTTTGTTCCACTCTACTGGATATCTAATTCAAAAGTTTCTCTACTGTTTTTGTTTAAGAATTAAAATAAGTTGGTGCCAATATCAATATAAAAAATTACATAGTACTTCAAAGCATAACGGCAAAAAAGAGCCTCTCCAGTAAATTATTATTCGGACCTCTAAATTACTTTCCTCTCCTTCCACAAATTTATGCATTAAAACAAAAATTGTACAAAACAAAAAACAAATTAATGACATATTAACGACAGAAACCAGTATGTTAAAATATGTTAGTAAAGCATGTTGAAAAATTTGAAATTGTTTTACCATGCCTTTTTAGCTGCAGATTAGTCTATAATATCTCTTTAATTAAATTGAGCTACTTTTTCTGCTTTAATAGCTAATAAGCATAGTGCAGACAAAATGGTTTTGGACATTCGTTATCGTTAAATGTGTGTTTAAGTCTTTTAAATAGGTAATGTCAAATATAGCATAATTGCTGCGATCATTTTAACGAATGAGCAACTTATATCACAATATGTTGTTATTATTTTGAGCAAATCAAAAATATTGTTAACATTTTTTTAATGTTTGCAGAGATGTAAAACGAGAATCTATCTGATTCGTAACAATATCTATAACTGCGTAACAATATCTATAACTGCATAACAATATCTATAACTGTGTTAAATGCATCAGTTTTAAATAGTTGTTCAGTTGTTTCAAAACGGAAATCCACACAAATAATATCTTACAGTTTTTTTTGTTCTTTTCACTCGTATTTGTTTAAAAGTCGGAACTATATTGCACTTTATAACAAGAGATTTTGCTTTTGCAAAAACATTATCAAATAAATATGCAGTAATTTTATTTCTTTTATTCCAATTTCTAATAAAACAAATTTATCTAAAACTATATTTTTGGATGGCAATATTTTTAGAACGATATTTAATGGTGGTAATACTTCATTAATTAACACCAAAATGCAAAGAAAATCTAAGCAATTCATTTTCTTTTTTAAACAAAATAATTTTTGTCAATAAAGCATTCATTACATCTACATATTTACATTTAATGGCTATACAATATAATAAACGAGACGCCGGACGGGATTTAGTTTATTAACAAAACTTCTGATTGTTTTTTAAATATTGTTCAACCTATTTATGCTAATATCAAAAAAATGTACACGTTTCTTGTATGCTAGAAAAAAAGTTGTTTATATAATGACACACACTGCACAATAAATAAATGTTGCGTTTTTTTAACTTCTATTATTCTTGTTTGTACCTCAGAGTAAATACCACTCGTGTTGCTTACTAAAACTGTTGCCCAAAATGTTTGTTCCTTTTGAATATTTTCGAATCTATTGATCTCTATCCATTGTTTCAAAATAAAGCAATCATTTATGCAAACCTTAGAAAATTCATGTTTTTTTATTTTTTTTAAAAGCCCTTGCCAGTTGTGAATTTGCTGTATCCAACAATTGTTTTTTGCCGCTTGAAAATAACTAACCAAGTATTTGTAATAGGTATTCCCGGTTTTGTAACGTTTTTATAATAATTTATAAAGAACAATTTTTTTCAACTTTGAAAAAAGGTCATACAAAAAGACAAAAAACCAACAGATAAAATGAACTGTTTTTCTTCAAACGTGATAACATCTTTAAAATTTGTAAAATCAGAAGGTTGCTCACAATTTCAGATGTTTTTAACTTCAAAAATTTTTTATGATTTCTTTATTACTGATCTTGTAATGCGTTTTGAACTTTTCACTTTTTTGTATAATTATGAGTAGGCGAGGCAAATAAATTTTCAAATTTTTTTTAGTTTTTTAACATTTATAAAACTATTTTAAGTTTTATATTACTTTTTTTTCTAGTCCAACCACCTTAAATACACAGATAGTAAACTCAAAATACGCAATTAAGAAAAACGTTAATTTTTGTACATTTATTTTGAGCAAGTATCGTTTATGATCCTAAAATTGGTACACAATTAAAAAGTCAAAACTGTAAAAAAACGATAAAGATACTTATGATCCTGTTTTTACTTACCGAAATGTTTTTTGTTTTGTAATGTCTTTATTATACCTTTTTTTTTTAAACCACTATTTTTTTTTAAACGATATAAACTTTCCGCATGAATATCGGCAAATTAACTTTGTTTTGTGAATTTATACAATAACGAAATACTTCGGAAGAGGGAGTTAAAAAGTGTTACTGCAAATTCACTGTGATAAAAAAAAAAAAAGAAAAAAGTTTAATGTATATCTAAATCAATATTTTTGAGTTCAATGTCTATCTAAAACAAATGAGAAATAGAAGTAACTTCTTTGAACCATCTTCGTAGCTAAAATGACGTCATTTTTAGAATTATTCAAAACAAGAAATAGCCTACGTCATCTTCGCCGCCACTATCTTAAATAGTATAGTTTACTTTAAGTTTACATCTAAAAATTCACTTTAAAACAATAAAGAATAATCGCTTATATTTTTCCTAAAATAAAAATTTTAAGAAGGTGCAAATAAGCGGTATGTGATGTAAAATGCTTAGATAAACAAAATAAGAATATTAGTTTTACTTTGCATTTTTAAAGTCTAAAATTTCATAAGGAATTGCAAACGGGTTCGTTGAGTTTGAACAAACTTCGGGTTTTTCAACATGGCCAGCAACCATAATATTTCTAAGTTCTGAATATCTTTTATGCATAAAATCTCTTTGAATCAATGTTTCTGAACAGGATAAAGATCTAACAACATCTTCAAGTAGCTCTAAGATTACAGCGGCATCAATTGGCGAAACATCTGGGAGATTCGTGCCGCGAGTGGCAGCGGCCAGGTAATTATATATATTTTGGTAATTTGGAGAATAATCAGTTGGAGAACTTGAACAACCAACTGGTTCAAATCCTGCCACAGTAAGAACTTGCGGAACACAAGCATCAGCAACAGCATCATCTAGAATTATAATTACTTTTTAGAATACAAAACATAGTATAAAAACTAATCAAATTTGTTTTTAAACTAGAGTGGAAGCTTATAATGTGCGCAGACCCTTGTTTTTTTATATGAAAGATTTTTTTTTTAATTTAAATAAAGCTTAAGGGTGGCACATGGCCCCTAAGTACTTTTTTTTTTTAATCCTTTTTTGACATTTTTTGTCCCATGACTGCCTCTCACAATGACTGATATAAAAAAAAATTAGACACTCTTATTATACATATCTTTTAAATTTAATAAAAAACTCATTAAGAAAGATTTGACACAAGAAACTCCATGACAGCGGTATGATTTAATTGTACTAAAGTCTTAACCATGCTCAATTTTCAACACCCGCCGTTTTAATAAGATTTAACAAAGCTTTAACGTGGGTAAAACGGTTCTTGCATGATACTCGATGATGTTTGTTTTTAGAATTAAAAAATATGTATTTAAATTTGTTATTATCGTTGATTTAAATGAAATAAAAAGTAAAATAAAAAATTATGCCAAAAATTCTTGGTAAAATAAGAAATAGAGGCAAATAAATATTCTTAGTTAAAAAAAACTAGGAAGACACATATTGAGTCAGGTACTGTAGAAATGCAGTTCAAAGCAGTTTACAATCTAATAGAATCTTATGACCTCAGTTATCATATAAAGTGTATATGTTTTGATACTACTGCTTCCAACACTGGTAAGCATCACAAAGTAATAACGAGAATGGCACATAAGCTTTTTTCATAAAAAGAGAGGTTAAAATTTCCTATTCCTGGTCCGTTGCAACATCCAAGATGGCAAAAGCCAACATGGCAAAAGCATTGTATTGCCTTAGCAACATGGTAAAAGCATTGTATTACCTTAAATTATATTTACTGTTGGAAATCATTCCAAACTTATCAGAGAAAAATATAAAAAAGATATTGCTATGTTTGCAGGCATCTTTTACGTTCAGTGGTTCCTTAGAGCAGTATCTGCAACTGCTGCTTCATATCAGGTTAAAAATAATTAGAAAAAATAAGAAAATAAATTAAAAAAGATTAGTTAATTGTTTAATTGATAAATTTTGTAAAAAATATTTTGTAGGACATGAAAACACTGTGGCAGATGAAGAAGTTTATGGATATAAATCTTTATGGAGAAACTTCAGCAATAAAATCATTTAGCAGGCACAGCTGGTATCTTGCTCCTGCCTTAGTTGTGCTAGCTTTAGGGAATAAACATTGCCCAAACAGAGAAGATATTGCCTAAGCATTGTACAGTACACCTCCCGCAAAACTTAAAGTATATCCACTTGAACATGTTAAGGTCAATAAAGAACTTTTTTACTCTCTAGATTTTGCACAAGATCAGTCTAGTGTAGTAAGCGACCGGGGTTGGTATTTGACCGAATCCGGGTTTGATAAAACATAGCCGGGGCTGCATTAATATTGATATTCCTTATAAATATATTATTGTTATTTAAAATTCATGATATATTTTATATAAAGGTATATATATCATCTCATCCTCATTGTCATCATCGTCATCATCATCAAGCATACAGTTGATGATGATGATTAAGATGATTCTGATGATGACAATTATCATTTTCATCATCATCTTAATCATTGGTATCATTATCATCTTCTCAGATACACACTATAAATATAATTACTACTCTCATACTATCTCTAAGATCATTGCTTTTGTTCCTATCTTTTAAAGACACCATATATCCATCTGATCTACTTTGTTCTTTCCAGATGAAAGAACAAACGAGCCAGCAACCTGGATATTCTAGAAAAGTCAGTGGCCATCATGTAATAAATTGATTATTTGAAACTTTTAAACAAAGTTAATAATTTGAAGAAATATTTAAAAATTGCTAACAATCAGGGTGTTTAAAATATCCTAAAATAAATTTCATAAGATAAATTTATTGTAAAATTGCATTTACATTTAAAATGTAAGTAATTTTTTAATTGTAATTTTAATCATTAGAATTACATAGTTGAGCTATTCAAGTATTTAAATGTAAAGAAATTGATAAATACTAGAAAATAGTTGAATTTATTTTTGTTAAAGCTATTTAAAAAATTTAAAATTATAAAAAAAATTAATAATAAAAGTAATAATAAACATTTAATAAAATAGTTAAACTAATTTGGTAACATTTTAATTGGTTTAATTGCATTTAATAACTGTGTCTGACTTTTTATGTCTAATTTTTCAAATGTTTGGCATTACATAAACATTGACATTTACATAATGTCTAGAAAAAAAAAATTTTAATTAGTATTTTAAAACTTTTGTTCAACAGGAAGTCAATTTCTCTAACTTCCTTTTTTTTAACAGAATATTCAATAAAAATAAGTCATTTGTCTGTAAAAATTTCCAATATTAGTAGTTTAATACTGTTGTTATAGCAACATAAATAATTTGTGTCTGGCTTACTTATTTTTGACTTGTATAAAAAGAGCAACTTTTATCATTCATATATTATTGAAGCTATCTGCAAAAAGCTAAAGGTTTGTTAAATTTATAGCAATTTCTTTTTAAACTAACTGTTTTTAGTATTATTATTTTATAATTTATCTAGCAATAAAAAGAAGTATAGATTCTTTTCTTCAATAAAATCTTTATCTATTAAAGTTATTAACAAAAGTAATAATAGTAGTAATATTAGTTATAAAAAAATGAAAGTAATTAATTAACTATGAAATCTTTGTCATATGTCTTAGTCATTTTTTATTATTTTATTAATTAGTTTTTCTTTAAATTAATAAAATATCTTGTTTTTATATTAAGCTATGCTAAAACTTATTATAAATATCATATACTTAAATTCAATATAATTCAATTCAATTTAATTAGATAATGGCTAAAAGAGAAGTGACAGCAGTATGGAATTATTTCAATGTTGCCCATGGGCGACCAGAAGTTGCTGAATGTAACATATGCAGTGTTGAAATTAAAAGAGGAGCGACTGGTGCTCCTTCTAAAAATTTTTCAACAAAATCATTATGGACTTGTTTGCAGTCAAAACACAAAGATGAGCACTCTTCTGCAAGTGAATCAAAAACTTTAGAAACTGAAAGAAAAAAAAAAGAAAAAGCAGCATGAAAAAGAAAAAGGTAAAGTTTATGTTTTAAACAAAAAGCTTTACACCAAACAGTTAACTCTTAAGGACTCCTTAGAAGGGCATTTAAAATGGAGATATGATAATCCTGACCAAGTTAAAGGAGAGCAATTGTTGATATATTGGCTTTGTGATGCCTTAAAACCATATTAAAGTCTCAAATGACCAGTTCCTAAAATTTATAAACCATCTGTCAAAAAAATTTAAAGTACAATCAGAAAAAAATATTCGAACAAATCTTGTTCCAAACATCAAAATAAGAATTCAATATGCAGTAAAATCATTACTTGATGCCACAGCATATGATATCACTACTGACATTTGGACTTCGCCAATTAATGATTCTTTTATGTCATTTACTGCTCATTAAGTAACAGAAGATTTAAAAAAAAATTGCAGTCCTCAGATGTATTCCATTCAAAATATCTCATACTGGTCGGAATATTTCAGAAGCTTTAAAGAACATCTCTAAAGATTGGGGACTAAATATTCATATTGTTATTAGAGATAATGCAAGCAATATGATTTTAGCAACAAAACTTTCTAGTTTTGAAAGCATAGGCTGCTTTTGCCATATACTACATTTAGTGGTACGAAACTCAATATATGAGCAGAGTGGCGTCAAAATAATGCTAACGAGGTAATTATGTTCAACTTTTAATACCTGTAAAGTGGTAATATTTTTTTTCAAATTAGTAGTTTTGTTTTTATTTAATCTAATTTTACCAAAAAATTGTTTTTGAAATATTTATTTTAATTTCATTTCAAAAGTATTCAATTCAACTTCTTAACTTTTTTCAACTTGTAAATCAAAAACAGTTGATAATTTTTTGTCTAACTTGAGATTAAGAAAGCTGGTTAAAAAGTTGCGAAAACCTGAAAAACTGAAAGGCAAAAGCAATATTTACCAAGTACCAGAGCCAAGCATCAGTCCTACCTAATGTCATGATACTTGATTGCGAAACAAGATGGGGAAGTACATTTTTAATGTTGGCTTGTGTAATGCAACAAAAACAAGCTATAAAACTTGCGGAAGACAACATTGAGTTAGAAATTTTCTCGGAATCTAAGGTAAAATTAAAAAACCATAGTTTTATAGTTTTTATTTGCATTAATTTTAATATCATTTATTTAGTTAACTCCAAATGATTGGGATCTTATTCCTAAAGTTTTATCAATGCTTGGTCCAATAGATAATGCTAGCAAAGTATCAGAAAGTGAAACTGTCCTAATTTCAGATATCATCCCTTTGACCAAAAAACTAAAGATGGAGCTTAATATTATAACTCAAGGAGGAATTGGAACCATGAAAGAAGTTTTACTTGAACAAATAGCACAGTAAGTATATTATTTGTTTTCTACAAATAAATTAGTTATTATAAAGAAACTATGAACTTACAAAAAATATAAATGTTAGGATTTTATAACATTACTTTGAGTTGGATACTTGATTGAGTTATGATTTTTTATTTAGTTATCTTGAGGGAAAAGACAATTGTTCAAATTATCCAAATATCTAAGAAAATAAACTATTGGGAGTAGCTACATTACTTGATCCTAGATACAAAACTGCAGGTTTTCAAAACAAAATTTATTCTGAAAAAGCAAATGAAAGTTTGTTGTACCTTATGATTAGTCAGCTAAGTAAAACTGATATTCAAGCAGAATCAACCACTAGTAATATTATTCAAGAATCAACTACCGAACAGGTAAATATATATAAAATCTATTGAACTGTGTTGAATAATTACAAACATCATAATCAAATATAAAATAAACGAAGTTTAGTTTAATATAAGTTTAAAAAAAAAATCTTTTATAAAAAAGATTAAGGAGTACATAGTAAACAAGAAACTAAATACATTTCAAATAGTTTTTAAATGGATTTTTGTATATAATTTAGATTTTTACTATTTTAAGGTTTGCAAATCGTCATCAGTTAAACCAATGTGGGACAGAGTATTAGTAGACAATGAGTCCGATAATGAAGAAAGTGACACATTTTATCTAAATGCAACCGAGTCTGCTAAAATTGAGCTTCAAAAGTATTCAAAAATGGAGCGAATAGATATTTCAGAAGATCCATTATTATATTGGAGTTTCATGAAAAGCGAGTTGCCAAAGCTAGCAAACTTAGCAAAAGTATATTTATGTTCACCCTCATGCTCAACAACAAGTGAGAGGGAGTTCAAGGTTTCAAAGTTAATACAAAAAGATCGCATCAGACTTACAACACAGAATGTTGAAACACTTCTTTTTTTAAAATACAATTTAAGGGCTCTTTCTTATTCAATATATTTATGTGATGCCCCTGAAGACTTTACACCACCTAATTCAAAATACTATGATGTCTGGGACACAGAATCATCAGAATCAGAGGAAGAAACTTAAATTATTATAAAGTGTCTTATTTTTTATTTGTCATTGTAAATATTTATGAATTATATAATATTTGTATATATTATTTTTGTGACTTTTTCTTATATTTCCTTAAACTTTCACAAAAAATTTTAATATGACAAAATTTAAAAAAAAAAGCAACAAAAATAACAACAACAAAAATCCAAAAACAACAACAAAAATCCAGGGGCCAGGTTTGCAAAAACCTCTGTTTTTAGCCGGGGCCAGGGCCGGGGACCTGGTCACTTACTAGTCTAGTGCTCTCGTAACTGAGCAATCTTGGTTTATCTTTGATACATCGAAAGAGTGAGTTGCAATGGCTTAAGATCCCTTCACAGTTCTGGAAGTTTAACTATTTTTATCTTGAGTTTAAAATTATTATTTAATTCCTTGATGTGGTCAATGACTCATCAGAGAGGGCCATTAAACTAGTTAAAAAACTGATTGGAAATACAAACATAGGGAAGAAAAGACAGGATTTGTTCTTGTTTGACCATTTTTACAAAAGATGTAGCCAAGAGGAAAAAAAAACAGATTTAGCATCCAACACAACTAATAGTATTTTTAAACAAAAATTTGTTAATAATCTAAAAAAAGTCTAATATTGCATTAATTTTGTTTTTCTCACTTGTCCTAACTCACTTGTCCTCCTGCAACTTAAAAGAAAGGTATATTAATAGGGGAGAGCTGATCCACCTTACTTTAGATAATTCACTAAATTTGATATCCATAATAATATAGAATACTTTAATAACTTAGACTAATTAAAGTGGATTTTGTAATAAAAAAGACCGTAGAAATAGGGAAATATTTTTTTAGTCTACTTTATTACTTTTTCAGTATTGAGAAAAAAATTATACATAAAGAGGGCCTAATTTTTTTTTAATATTAGTCATGGTGAAAATATAGAAAAAAAAATTAAATTAATTTATGTTGAAGGCTGGCACACATAGGTCAAAAATGTCAAAAAAGGGTAAAAAAAAAAAAAAAAAAAAAAGTACTTTGGGGCCACCCTTAAACTATTTTAAAATTAAAAAAATTTTTACATATAAAACAAGGGTCTGCGCACCTTATAAGCTTCTATTCTACTTTGAAAAAAAATTTCACCTTAATCTGAACCACCTTTATATATATATATATATATATATATATATATATATATATATATATATATATATATATATATATATATATATATATATATATATATATATATATATATATATATATACTCATATAGTGTCGCTTTAAGAGCATTTTAATGTAAAAAAAGTCTCTTACGACTACAATTTTAATTACCTCGTCTCTTAAGCTGTTTTTGATTGTCATCGAAATGTCAAAGCAATTAATTTATGCGGAAGTACATTAAATTTAATTGTTTTTTAAAAAATTTTTAAAAAACCGCAATTATAACGACTAGAAAGTTTTTTTTAATTAGTGGTGTTTTTGTTATTGATTTAATAAAAAACATTTTTTAAACATGCATAAATGTTGCTACATCGACTATCTTATAGCCTGACTCGCAACGGAGTGCTGCTACATCGACTGACAAATAGCCTGACTCGCAACGGAGTGCTGCTACATCGACTGACAAATAGCCTGACTCGCAACAGAATGCTGCTACATCGACTGACAAATAGCCTGACTCGCAAGGGAATGCTGCTACATCGACTGACAAATAGCCTGACTCGCAAGGGAGTGCTGCTACAACGACTGACAAATAGCCTGACTCGCAAGAGAGTGCTGCTACATCGACTGAGGGTTTGGTTTGGCCAGGCAGTCTATCAATTAAAAAAAAAATTTAATTTTTAAAACTTTTTCTGGTCTGGTTTATTAACGCGCTCTTTAAAACTACAGTTTATGGGAAATATTTTTTGATGCTACGCAAGAGACATGCAAGACTATATATATATATATATATATATATATATATATATATATATATATATATATATATAGATATATATATATATATATATATATATATATATATATATATATATATATATATATATATATACCCTTATAGTGTAGTCGAAAGAGCGTTTTAATGTAAAAAAAGTCTCTTACGACTACAATTTTAATTACCTCGTCTCTTAAGCTGTTTTTGATTGTCATCGAAATGTCAAAGCAATTAATTTATGCGGAAGTACATTAAATTTAATTGTTTTTTAAAAACTTTTTAAAAAACCACAATTATAACGACTAGAAAGTTTTTTTTAATTAGTGGTGTTTTTGTTATTGATTTAATAAAAAACATTTTTAAAACATGCGTAAATGTTGCTACATCGACTATCTTATAGCCTGACTCGCAACGGAGTGCTGCTACATCGACTGACAAATAGCCTGACTCGCAACAGAGTGCTGCTACATCGACTGACAAATAGCCTGACTCGCAAGGGAATGCTGCTACATCGACTGACAAATAGCCTGACTCGCAAGGGAGTGCTGCTACAACGACTGACAAATAGCCTGACTCGCAGAGGAGTGCTGCTACATCGACTGAGGGTTTGGTTTGGCCAGGCAGTCTATCAATTAAAAAAAAAAATTTAATTTTTAAATTTTTAAAACTTTTTCTGGTCTGGTTTATTAACGCGCTCTTTAAAACTACAGTTTATGTGAAATTTTTTTTGATGCCACGCAAGAGACATGCAAGAGTATATATATATATATATATATATATATATATATATATATATATATATATATATATATATATATATATATATATATATGTATGTATGTATGTATGTATGTATGTATGTATGTATGTATGTATGTATGTATGTATGTATGTATGTATGTATGTATGTATGTATGTATGTATGCATGCATGCATGTATGTGTGTATGTATGTATGTGTGTATGTATGTATGTATGTATGTATGTATGTATGTATGTATGTATGTATGTATGTATGTATGTATGTATGCATGTATGCATGTATGCATGTATGCATGTATGCATGTATGTATGCATGTATGTATGTATGTATGTATGTATGTATGTATGTATGTATGTATGTATGTATGTATGTATGTATGTATGTATGTATGGGGTGTTTAAAAAAATAAAATTTGCAAAACGCGAATACACAAGAAGCCAAATTTGGAGCAAATATATAAAAAATGTGATTGCAAAAAAAATTCCAAAAATATTGACATTTACCTTGTGCCCAAGCGGCAAAATACCTTGAAAAATGCCCCAAATTGTTCCTTAATTATTTGTCTTTGAGCGCAAGGTAAATCTCAATAATTTGTAAAAAACATTTTTCTAATGTGATCATAATGGTTTTAAGTTTTTTTTTTTTAGATTGTTGTGTATCCTATTGATTGTTGTGTATCCTTTTTTTAGATTGTTGTGTGTCTTTTCATAATTATTGTTTATATTAAAAAATAATTTCACTAAAAAATATTTTAGCGCAATTGCGTAAAAAAAGAACTTTACTCTAATATGCAAAAAAAAAAGATTTTTTTTTTTGCATAAATTATGCGAAATCTTTTTAAACAACACTTAAGAAAAAGCCAGGATACACAACAAACTAAATGAAAAATTTGGACCATTATGATCACATTAGAAAATTTTTTTTACAAAATAATGAAATTTACCTTGCGCTCAAAGCCAAATAATTTAGGAACAACTGGGCATTTTTTGGGGTATTTTGCCGCTTGAGCACAAGATAAACATCAATATTTTTGGATATATGTTCTTGAGAAAGTGATGGCATATTAAAACTCAATAATAATACGTGAATATTTTAGCATTATTTATTTTGATATAATGCTAATTGATTTTATACTAAAAACGCTAATTTATTTTAAATTCTTCATGATTATATATATACCATATAATATTTTCCCAGAGAGATACTATAGCTATTTTTAAACTTTTTCAATTTTCTATTTACAAAACTGGCTAATTACCTTATTAGCTTAGGTAATCTCTAGGTCAATATATGAGGCTTAGAGACATTTATATTACTATTATTATTTACATTTAAGTATTATTTACACTAATAGTCTTGTAAACATACTCCTCCCTTTTGACTAAATGGTCAATATCTTTTGGTTCATTCGGCTCAAAAGGACATAACTGGTTATTGAACGTTTCAAAATAAACTTCCCAAATTGCACATTTGTCGCACGTACTAAGCCGTCATTTCCAGTAAAAACTTCTGTTACTCAACCAAGGGGTTAATTGCCTCTTAAATTTATAAATTTGGTCAGTAAAAAAAGCTTGACAACACTAATAAAACATCCTCTACAAAATAAATCTATTTAAAAACTCTTGATACTGCATTTTGCTTGTTATGCAACTTAAAAAAAGGTTCCATCAAATGCAAACACTTCTTCTAAACTACAAAACTATTAAGTATGCAAAAGCATGGAACAATGTTTGAATTGAAGCAGTACAACTAAGAAATATGGAAAAATAGGGAGAAAAATATGGAAAACAAGATAAAAATAAATTCTTCTTACAAAAAATATTTTTGAAACTAGAATATAAAGAAGTACTAGAAAAAATGGCTTTAAGAACTTTACAGTAACTTGAGAAAAACTCAAAAAGAATGTGTTATAGAGTTTATCTTAAAGTTCTGTAAAGTTCTTAAGGTCATTTTTTTTTAAATACTTCTTCATATTCTAGCTTAGAAGTATCTAATTTAATCTGTTATTAGTAGAATTGCAATGAGGAAAAATTGAATTGAATTCAGCAAAAAAACTTGGATACAAAGGAAGTGGTTTAACATTTGTGCACAGTTGATTTGAGGCTGAACAAACTAGGAAAAAGCAGTAGGGGAAAACCAGAAGCCCCTAAAAATGAAAAAAACAAACATTGGAAAACAAATGTTATTGGCTCAAAAACATTAATACCACATCTAAAAAAATTATTGCAGGTGGATGCAATGATAATCACATGAAGAAATTTTATAACTTGACTTCTTGTCAAAATGTGTAACTCAATGAACTTTTAGAAACTCTGTTGGAATGCCCTCTCTCCAGAGCAACATATTTTTATT